CACCCTCACAGTTAGATATGCCACAGCTGCTCTCTCTGAGCCATCCCCATGTAACCTGTACATATTATCCTGTCTTTCCTTATAACTTATTTATTATGATTCCTTAAACTTACTCCAATTTGTCAAGTTTTATGTTTTTCTGCAAATATGAAGTTGCCTAGAACTGAAGATGAGCACTTGACAGGAGTGTTAGCTAGCAGTATTCACTGTAGTCCTCTCCACAGCTGAGGCTTTCCAAAAGTTTTATGAGAAGCTGAGAGTTAAAAGCATGTGTGAGCAGTTTGCCTGGGTTGCCCCTCTTTCTCCTTGCTGCTTCACATCCATTATCCTTTGGAAGATCTGGATTGAATTTATTCCTTTCTAGTCCTCTAGTGCCTTTCTAGTTCTTACTGATGGTTTATAAGCCATTGAGTCAGTTTGAATTGTCTCATCTGGTATTATATTGATTACTTCAATCTCTTTCAAATGTTTCATTGCCATATGATCTGGGAGACGGTGTTGGACCAGCATCTGAGAGGCCTTGGCCACAGGTTTAGCTCTGCGGCTGGTCTGCTCGGTGACTTTACAGGCTAGTCACATTATCCCAGTGCCTCAGGCATCCCAACCTTTGAAAGGAGTATAGTGAACAGTGTCACCGAGTCACATTTGTGACTTTTTCTGGTTTGTGCTGTGCAAATGTGTTCAAGCTAAACAAAAGAAGTGGAAAAGGTCTAGATACCTGGTACCATTCTCCTCCTATAATAGGAATCTTCAGGCTTTGGGAACCTCTTGCATCAAATGTCCAGACCTCATCGCCTGATCTAGAAGAGCAGAGTAGTTAACAGGTCAGATTAACATCTATCCAACATGAGCTCTGCTCATATTTCTGACAGTGGCTTGTTGCTTATCTTTTCCTCAGTATTTTGCAAATTTTGTAGCCCTTTATTCCCATCCCATCCGCCCACCGCCCCGCAAAAAAAAAACAAAAAACAAACAAACAAACAAACCCCAAAAAACCATGCTATTTATACTCCTAGCTCCCTTTAGACTAAGTCAGTTTGATTGTTTTTTCATCCTGGCAAAGAAAAATACGTGGAAACTTTAATTGCCCTGCAACTTTCCAGCGCTATAAAATGCGTCTGTTTTGAGCACAGAGAACTAAAATGGCAGTATGCTGAACCACAGCTTGGCCTTTGTGCAGCTACTGCCTAAGTATATACAGAACTTAAAAGTTTCATCTAAGCGTGTAGTATCTGTCTAAAAGGATTGTTAACATGTGATTAGGACAAAACCACATTTACTAATATGTCTAATGGCAGTGGTAGCTTTTTGTGCCTTCCAGGTGTTTTAGGTGGTTAGGTGAGATGGCTTGAGTCAGTCTAGTGGCCTGCCAGTGGCTGGCTGGGCTTAGCTCACCCCAGCCTTAGGTTTGCCAGCCTGCTAAGAGGTGATTTAATTTGCTCACCCAGCAAAGAATGAACTCAGAGTTGTTTTCTTCTGGGGTAGCGAGGCGCATTGGCTCAGCGAAGGGTGTGAGGAGAGTGAGAGTCAGTGCATGGCATCAGGCAGGGAAGGAGAAGGAGGGTCCAAGGCTCCTCTGCGGACAGCGCAGCCATCTCTGGTAACTTCTCCCCTCACAGAGGCTGGGATGCAGGTTAGCTCTCTGCAGCAGTCTCTCTCTGCCTTTGCAGATGCTACAGTACTACTGAGAAGGGCACTGACACCCATTGAATCTACAGCAGAAACTATAGATATGATTTTGGCCCTTGGTTTCATCAGCTGTCAAAAAAAGCAGGCAGAAACTCTTATTTTTCAGAGTTCAGATGTGTTCTTTTTATTTGCCACTCTCTTGGCTCCTCTACCAGTTATCTGCCTCCACTTATATTTTGCTTAGAGCTGTGTGTATTTGAGTCTGGTGGCCACTGCTTTTTCTTCTCCATTAATACTCTCCCCAATTCATCAACATCTTCTTTTTACTGGAGTATCTATAAAATTCTCCATCCAAACTTGATCCTTCTCATCGTGACAGACAGTTCCCCCAGGTTTGCTTAATATTTGCTTAATGCTCTTCTGATGCATTCTGTGACCTTACTTCTTGGTTTTCCATATCAAAGTGATATAGAGAGAGGTATACAACTGGACGGATGTGCTCCATTATTTAGAGAGGGTAATTGTAATAATTTTTAAGGCCTCTTTTACATAAAGGCATAATAAAGATACTGTGCTGACGTTATGACAGCACCATAGTGAGACCAGTGTCATACAGGAAAAAAACTTAAATAATGTCCAATGCAGAATGCTGATGTGTGTCTATACATACAGATTAAAAAAGGAAAGGCCTGCTTTTAATTTTGTAAATAGCAGATGCATGTGATCAGGGTGGCCAATACTTCTTAGATCTTTGCTTCTAAAGGGAAGTGTGTGTGTGTAACTGAATGCTTCAATATATATGTAGATACATATTACAAGAGTCTGTATTACTAACTGTTAAATAATAATAAAAAACATCTCTTCGGCTGTAGATATGGAGTGGTTTGGCTTGTACTTTTCCTCCATGGTTTTCTGGCTCCTAAATTTGGGTCTTTTTTCCTTGTTTCACTAAGTTTATTTGCCTGTCTGAATGTGCATGTGGGCCACTAGATCATCTAGTCAGAAGAACATTTACAGAAGGGTTCAAGCTGTGTAATATTTCCTTGCGTTAATTATTTAATGGTATCACTTGAACTGACTGGATTGATTCCTACATTTAGGATTTAATGGAAATAACAGATTTCTTCATCCACTTTAAATGTCTGTACCTAGCCAAAAACTACCATGGTAACACAGCCATTGTAGAAGTCCTTTCTGCTGTGTTGGTGCTGTTTGTGGTATATGGTGACTTCAGGAGAGCTCTTAAAACAGCTTTTGAATTAATAAGAGCATGGGCCAGTACCTTTGTGTGTAGTGGCACTTCCAGACCACAGTGCATGTGTTTACCTTTTTTAAATGTTCCTGTGTACTTCACATGCAGGAAAATCAAATTAATTTGTAAGTAGGCCTGGAGTCCTGCTATATATAACTTGGTGTCTTTTCTTCTGGAATTCCTGCCTCCAACTGCAGCTTTCTTGTTGGCGCTTCTTGTCTCATAAAAAGATTTCATTAATTTTAAAGAATAAAATTAAATGGATTTCTTTTCCAGTTTTCGATTACAATGCCAGTTGAGGAAAAATTTGCCTCTCCAGTAGTGTATGGCATGTTCTTGGGTAGGTTGCACTAGTATCTCTCTCCAACCTTGATGGGTAGGGTAGTGTGGGTTCATTGCAAAAGGTTGCCCGCGGTTTTTTGTTCTCCTTCACTTGTGCCTGTTGAGCTGATACGTAGAACTGTGTGATCCCTAATTTTTCATTCTCTTCCTCTCAGCTAACACTTCCTCAAAGTGCTGTTTTACAAACTTTTACTCCAAGCCACTTGCTATATAAAAAAAATAAAAATCTGTGGGAACAGATTAGTCAGGACACAGAAGAGTGATGTAAATATTATACCTGCAGAAGACAGGACTGTTTTTATTCTGTCCTTATGGAGGGAACTGGTATCTTATTACTTGGCACTCTTCTTTATAGTATACTGTAGAACTGGTGATGCATTCACTGATACATAGGCTATCTTGTGCTTCCCATTTTTCCCATAGCCTTCTCCATAATTGTAACCTCAGAGTAAAAGTCAGGCAATGATTGGCAGTACTCTTCTTGTGCCTCTGTTCAGCTGGAAAGTTACGTTTCCATTCTTTCTGTGTGCTACATGTTTTTTTTAATGGTCATTGATCAGCATACAAAAGTCATGGGGAATGGAAATGCAATTATGAAGAAAGATAAATAGGCAGGAGCAGCGCGTCTCATCAGAAACCCAGCTAGAGCGTCAAAAGATTGGGGGGGGATGAAATAAAATTCTAGTATAATGTGTAACATTTGACAAGTAAAACTAATGATCCTTGGATTAAAAAAGAAGGTTCAAAGCTATTCCAGATAATGAAAAATTATATTGAATCACTGTTGTAGCTCTGCTCCCTTTTTAGGATAGCATAATTATTTAGCAGAAATGTGCTGGGTAATGTGGTGTGAAAGCTGTGCGGAAACAATATTAGCAATCCAGTTTCTGAGGCTACTTTCCATGGATACAGAGCAGACACCCACATTCAGCGAGTGGTGCAGGTGAGCTGGTGCAAGTGTGGTCTTCCCCTAGCACAGCGAGGAAAGTGTGTTCCTCGGTGTCCCCCTCCTGCTTACAGGGCTCTCTGGGAAATCAGATTTCACTTGCTTTTCCCAACCAGTGTTATTACTCTGGCTTTTTCTGGCCTTCCCAGGAGCACCTCCTCAAAGTCCTTGGCCCACCAGTGGCATCATGCTGGGCACCAGGTTCTAGAGCAGCTCTGGTCTCCAAAGGAAACAAAATAATTTAGGCCATGTAATTGGGGTTATCTTGTACCCCTTTAACTTTCCTGCTTTGCAGACCCTTAAGCAAGGTAGCACCTGCAAAAGGGATGGAGAAGCAGGAAGGGCCAAAGGAAAATTGCTGATATAGCCAGGAGGGAATGATGGTCAGCAAGTGGTGAGTTGTCCCCCCTGCTCTCCTCGCCTTTCTCCCTTCTCTGTGAGCCTTGGCTGTGGCTGCTAACAGCCTGATTTGTGAATACTTAAAAATTAGCATAATTTATGCTCTGTTTCCAATGTGGTTTTGTTTCCTTTTCCAGGAGAAAAGGAATATTTTTCCATTGTGCAGTACTGTTTTGTAGCCAGTCTATCAGTCTTAGCCCCAGCAGGTGATGAGGCTGTGTATTTTGAAAAGTGTAAGGTTTTCCTGGTTTTCATGTCTTCATATGATACATTAAAAAATAAATCATAGTGGTTATTACTTTGTGTTTAATGATCATATGGTGTATTATCAGTAAGTATATATATCATAATGTTTATGTGCAACAGTATAAGTGATACGGTTGTCTTTGCCCTTATTCTTTCATCAGATATAAGAAACGTGTTTAGAGAAACATGGGTGAAACAGAGCAGAGACCAACAGCAGGATCCCGCTTAGGAGCTCAGGAAAATGCTGGGATCAGTACCTTGGAGCATGGACAGAAACCACCTATGACACCTCCAGGAAAACTCGTCTCCATCAAAATTCAGATGCTGGATGACACGCAAGAAACCTTTGATGTTCCGGTAAGGGTATGGAGGTTGGGGTGGCTAAAGATTATTCAGGCTTTTCTAAGAACACATGTTTTCAAACCAGTTCTCTTTTTATTTCAACTCTCATTCTTTGGCTAATGATTTCATGTTGTGGAGAAAACGGCTGTTACATCAGCATTAAATAGATGATGGTGCAATAGAATAACATTAAACAGCAAAGTGAACTGTAAATTACAGTTATTATTCTGTTTCTGTTTGAACAGCTTCAGAAGAGGTGAAAGTCCTTGGTGCTTTTTTTTCTTCAAATATTACATCAGTGGTTTCATATACTTGCTGAACAGTTTGTGTATTTCCTTGGTGCTGTTTTGCTTTTGATCAGTAAACCATAGGTCTATACAGACTTTTTTTTTTTCCCTTCTCCTCTGGCAAGTCCTTAGGATGGTAACTTGAAATCATCAAAGTTTTCACTAATTTATATCACACTTAACTGAGACCAAGTGCTCACATGCGTTAAGTGCAAGGAAAGAATCAAAGCCATCTCATCTAAAGTTTCTCTATACAGTCAGTGCCCACTGAAATTAATCTGGGTTTGTACTTGCCGATTAAGGAAACAGAGTTACTACTATTTTTGTGTGTGATCAGAAGAATTAGTTTGAATTAGTTTTGATATAAAGACCAATTCTGTTTAACACTGTCTAGCTATGAGTAACCACTAATGATTTTAACATGGCATGCATAGATAATTAACATGTAAGGTCATTGAAGGCTGTTGCTGTTATGAAAGTGTACTGGAATGTGTATTTTTCAAAGTTCTCAGGGTTCAGTGAATAGGAAACTAAAAACATGAGTTCAAATTTCATAATTTGTTGCTTGCTATGGTAACTTCCATGCCTTCATTGGCTCAGTTTTCCCTTCTGTGAAGCAGGGGGTTACCAGCAAGATACGTAGATCTTACATGTGTAGTGTGCTGTGAAAGCGCTTATGGCCACTTAAAAAAGTTATCCCTGTATTAAAGAGGAAGGAATTCTGATTAGGAAAAATCTTCATTTAAAAAAAATTATTTTTTACTTGTTTATAAGGTTTTGTTTGTCTCGTGTGTGTGTGTGTGTACACGCACATGCTTTTTAGTCTGCTCTCTGCTGCTGTTCATGACCCAACTACAACTGTGTGTTCAGTCTCAGATTTTTAGTAGAAAGCAAATTCTCTGGACAGGTGGGTATTTGTGAACAGAACTGTCAGTCAAGTGAAATGCTCATGTATGTAGCAACTTATTATGCTTTTGTGCCTTTCAGAGTGCCTATCGAATATCCAAAGAAAACAGACTAAAATTAGCAGTATGTAGGTAGTCATTGCTGTTCAAAAGTGTAGTTCTAGTTTAAATTATCAAATGCTAATGAAGTTGTGTCGCTTATCTTATGTGGTACAAATATCCCTATTATCCCAGATACAAACTTTTTTTTTCTTCCACAGCTGCTACTTCACCATGCTTTGGAAATGATGTGCAATTTATGAGTGTTAATAATTTCATTTAACAAATGCTTAGCAGGAGCCCTTTTGAGATCAGGTCCCTTTCATTAAATTGTTTAGAAGAAAACATAATGGATGAATGCAGTGCACCTGTGTAACCACCTTTGCTTCTGGGAGTTTGAGAAAACACTTTTTTGGATCTTTGGTATTAGAAGATCAACATCAATATTACTTTTTGTTTTTAAGCTTCAGCAACACCTGGAGGACCTGGGTATTTAAACAGCTCTCTGTTCTGACCAATTCAGTATGATTATTTTGTGAGTCTTTTATTTCATAACTATCTCTATTCAAGGAGGGCCCACTTGGTTTTCAAGTCAAATCTTGTAGTGAAATTTGCAGGATGCTTAGATTATAAAGCCTCTTAAAGCAGATTCCTAATGCCTTTTCTCTTTAAGGTATGTATAGTCAACTGGAGCGATACACATTGTTTTCAGTCTGCTCTAAAAGGCATTAATTTTTTAGTCCCATCTCACAAAAATGAAAAATTTTCAATACATGTAAATTGAGATGTTTGGGAAAACCCATTTACAAGCTTGCTGTTTTTAGCCAGATTGGTGCAGTATACACAGAAAAAGCAAGTGACACCATTTCAACAAAATATTTTAGGGGCAGCAAGTGTGGCTGTGAGGATGTTAAACGTACATGCTTAAAGCACAGCTGTGGGCTTGATTTTCAGTGGAGAATTAAAGGCTTTTTGCGTGATTGAAGGTCTGAACTACTCTTTCCAAAACTTGAGCTGCCATGGTTATGAAAGTAACCTTCCAAATATGATATAAGTATAAACTGAGAAGGTTTTGTTTCCTTCAGTTTCAGGAATTTTGCTGGACAATCTTTTCTCTATTAGCAAATGGGCAAAACTTGGAGTGGTTTTATTGCTGTTTGTGATGTGTCTTGTAGGATGATACGAAGTTTGTCATGCCAGTTTACTCTTTGCCTGTAAACACTGTGTAAAAATAGGAACAGATACTGGTGCTACTTCCCCCTGAATTTGGGTAAAGTAGTTGGGACTGTCCATTTGTCTAGTCCTCCTTCCTTTCTACTCCTACAATTTCTTTTGTTATAGGTTTACCACTCCCCCATTAACTGAAAGTGGAAAAAGATCTTATCTGTGTGGTGTTTGCCTTGGGTTTTGTTTTGTTTTGGGGATGATATGTGTTTGGGTGTTTTTGTGTTTGGGTTTTTTTGTTTGTTTTAGTTTTTAATTATCTTCCAAGAGGCAAGATCCAATACCCTTGCACTTAGGCAATCCCCTTCCTCTCATTGTATGCAAACGACTTGCTTTTATTAGCCCAAAATCCTCATTTCTATGTCACTTCTGCATGTAACAAAACAGGAGAAAAGCATGACCTACTTCCATTGCCCCCCAGTCCTGCTGCTTTTTCAGATGATTAAAAGTGGAGTAACTCTGGTGTCGTTTGTCCTTTGAAAGGAAAGTTGATCTTTACTGACCAACGTTTGGTGTTAGTGTTTTGGTGCTATATAATCATACCATCTCTGGCTCATTGTATTAGCTTCTCACAAGCCACAAAAAAAACCAAAAAGGAGAGAGAGATATACATGGCCTCATGTGTGCCTGTAAATGATATTTTTTGCTAGGGAAAAAACCCATAAAGTGTATGGGAGACTTGAAAAACAAAAAAAAACGCAATGAAGGCCTTTTCAGCAATCTTTGCAAATGCAATATTGTAAAAGGAAGAGGACATAAGAAAAACCTTATGTGCTGCTTGCTGTTAACAAACAATATTGCATTGCAAAATTTCCAAACATTCCTATATTCCAAAAAGCCAGTGAAAACTTGAATAGATAATCCTGGATCTTTTACACACGTCCAGTTAGATGGTAGCATTACTTTTTTCAAGCAAATACAGATGCTTGGGGAAGGAGGGGGAAAGGTAGGCATTGCAGCTTTCAAAAAAAGCTTGTATTATTTTCACTTTGTATTCACTACCTTTAAGATAAAAGGAAAGTATAAAATTCATCAGTTATCTTTTTGAGCACGTTTTTGTCTGTTCTGCTATGAGAAGATAAATTATGTAGAATATCCTTCCCCCTTTTATGTTATTCAGCTTTTTTATGACTGAATTTCTGTACCTTTAGTTTGAGTCTGTTCTGAAGTCTCAGACAAGAGCTGGCTTCAGCTGCGGTTGTAGGTAATCAATGACTAAAAATCAGGCCATGAGTTGCAAGGTTCATTATCATTCAGTGCTTGCAGCTGTTGGTCATGGTATTGGCTTTATGGAGGGGTTGCATGCAAGTGTGTTTGTCTCTTGCTTTTTATTTCTAATTTCCAGTTTGACTGTATTTACTGAAAAATTAGTTAGATATGCTAACTGAAGACTGCAGAGCTCCAAAATATGCCAGTCTGTTTCAGCTAGTGTTTGGCTGAGTTATGACTACATGATAAAATTAGCAAATACAGTTCCTTTCTGCTAGGTAAGAGGACAACAGCTTTAGCTGAAATTACTAATGTGAAGGAGGAAGAACATTTTTTCACCCTTGTACACATAATGATAATCATATATAGATAGATTTTGGGCATTTTGAAAGGTTGACACTTCTTCTGAAAGGCTTGCAAAACCCAACACTGCCAAGTAGAAGTTGTGTATTATAAAAGAGGGGAGGGAGATGTACAGTTCTGCTCTAGTTTTATTTCTACCAGTCTCATGTAAATTAGCTTGAAGAGAATGGAGTTGATTCCATAAAGCCATAGTAAGACTTAGAGATTTTCTTATGTTTGTTTTGATTTGGTCTCCCCCTGTAGATTCAAGCCAGTTTAAGTAAAAAAGAAATAAGTTTTTTAAGGAACAGTAAAAATAGCTGATTGTTGACTGGAGATCATTCTGGGGAAGAAAACCCCTTAATGTTTAGTGACTATGCCATTTATATTATATTTATTTTTATAGTTGTTTCAGTGCCAGAAGTAATCTGCTTTAAAATTACTCCTAAGTAGAAAGAATCAGTGTTGTTCCTTTCTAGGTAATGCTGAAGACATGACTGATCCTCGTGTTAGACTGCTGGGATGGTTTGGTGACTCAGTCCAGGTTTAACTCCGACGTGATGCCTGTCACTGATCATATCTTACTGTCTGGGTCAATGATGTTGATGTGACTCAATGATACTACTGATGCTAAATAGAAAGTCAGAGTTGTTTCCCATTATCATCAAAGGTGAAATCAAAATATATCAGGTAGGTTAAGAGGAGGTAGGAGGTAAAGATTCTTTTGGTTAGGATCCAGTCTCTTTAATTAAAACTGAAGTCCTCTTTATTGTGTTTGGAAGAAAATTGGTGCTGCCTTTTTGTGGCTGTCTTTTGGGAAGACCAAAACATACTTGCCTGTCAGATTACCAGAGTTTATTAAACATCTGTTTTGTGTCTTACGTAAACTTTCTTTCTCTCTGAATATGTTCAAGCTTTGTGAAATATGCAGGGTTGGAAAATGTCATCCACTTTGAGGGATTAACACCTGGTTTCTTAAGCAACAGGAGTCTCAATAGAAGGCAGGGTG